AAACAGTATTTCAAAGCAGATTGTCATATTTTTTCAAAGCACCTGCTACACATATTCATTTGCAGAATTAGTTATTAGCTGTGACAAACTATTCTTAACATGGAACATTTATTAGATATTACCATATATTTAAAATTCTTAACATCATGTGTGCACACTCAGATTTTTATAATTCCAGATTGGACAGTTTTAAGACTATGAGTGCAGTTGGATATTGATCTCCTACTGCACACTTGGCCAATTGTCTGTGACAGTACAGGGTAATGATGAATTATCTGCAAGCTTAACTGTTGCTCATGCCATGAATTTCCATGCTCTGGAAAATAGCAATCTGATATCTATTTACTCTTGCATCCCATGCCAATAAAGTTAGAAAGGGTAATAGTATCTTACATGTGATAAATAGATTACCTTTCAAAAAGCTTCCATTTCTCTTTTAATTATTAATCTTTTTTTTTAAAAAAACTTATCTTTCTCAACTTAAGGAAGTGTATTTAGAAATCATCTTGTGACTTGTCTGAGCAGAAACGTGCACAATGGCTGTGGCTCCTGCTGGTTTTCAGTATGTCAAATCGGACAGACACTCTCTTCTTGTTACCATTAAGGAGAAATGTGAGTGAAATTAATTCTAGGGCAAAAGGCTCAATGAAAATGCGATTGTAATTATTTTAAGTTCTCAGATGTAAAAAAAAAAGAAATAAAAACACTGTGAATCAGTAATCAGGTAAAAGTTCATCAAATTAAGTCAGATATAGCAAGGAAATCTAAGCTCTATTACAACATTTTCATTATTAGCCAAGAATGTAATCCTTATGACCACAAAAAGAATGTTTTGATTATTTTGCATTTTTAGATATAAATGACTACGTATGCTGTGTTTTGTGCAGGCATTGCTGAAGCAGAAGCAAATGAGGAGACTGTATCTTTGAGTAGTTTGTAACCTAATATGTGAGATAAACAAATGACTCAGTGCAACGTGAGTAGTGTTATAATTGAAAGATATTAAAGCTAGGGTCAGGTGAGAAGGATGCCTGAAAACCACAATTCCACTAGACACAAGAGCTGGTGGTGGTGGCATTGAGAATTGGGGTAGGGGGTGCAGAGAAAGGGAGAATAGTATATCTATGTTTAATTCTCAAAAGTGATCCTGAAAACCAACAGTCTGAAACTTGTAAGAGAAATCTAATGCTAAGAAAGACAGCCAACAGATTAACAGTTGTGACATAAAATTTATAAAACTAACTTTGTGGAGCAGTTAACCCAAGACTCCACAATAACCATATTAAGAATGGAGAAATAAATTAAAGATTTATGGGAAAAAAGGCAAGAAAATTAGAATTGATGGCTTTAGAGAAAAATGAAAAGAAATAATACTAAAAAATATTATCACTAAAATAAAAAAATAATCTACATGATATATATTAGGTTGGACATAGACAAATATTAAACAGGAAGAAATACTGTAGGGTTAATTCAGAATACAGTACAGATGACAAAATTTAGACTATATAAATTTATATTCTTATACAATTTTAACATATATACACATATGTGTGTGGAGGAAATGTCAGAATTATATAGAAAGAGCCCAAATAACTAATTAATTTGAGAACTAGTGACAGAAAACGGGAGACATGGTGGGTGTCATAGATTAAATTATTTTTCAGCAAATATGTATTTCTCCTCTTACCCCCAGCCCTTCTTGGGAGTAGCACACTTTCCTACTTCATTAATGTTGACTTTAGGCATATGATTTCTTCAGGTCTATGATCTGTTCAGTGGAGGATGAGATGAAGTGATAGTTTCAGACACAGAACTAAAATGTCATTTCATATTACCAATGACTCCACTAGGAGTCTCAATGCAATCTCAGGTGGAAAACATGCAATAGGTTTTCTTGCTTGCTTGCTGTTCTCAGAGCAAAATGAAGGGCACCTAGAACTGACTCCAATTAGTTCAGCCAAGTTCCAGCCAACCTACAGGGATTCTCTGAAAGAGAGTCCCTTCATTTCACCTGCAAACATGTGCACAAAAAAAAAAAAAATCCATGTTTGTTTCATTCGCTGCTGTGGGTACATGTTTATGAAGAATTGTTGTGGATCTAACAAATTAATACAGGGAAAAGAAATATTTGAAGTAAAGCAACTAAGAATTTCCAGAATGAAAAAGAAGATGAGTTCTTGGATAGAATGTACATTTCTCGCACAGTACTGGATTTATAAAAAAAAAAATAAGTAAGACAAAAGCAGTGTGACTGATGAATAGGTTAGTTAAGACTAAATCATAGCTAAGGCCTATGGTATTATAAAATAAGAATGCCCACTGAAAGAACAATACTAAAATACTGTACATTGTTTCTCAAAGAGGAGAGAAATAAAGATCTATAAGAAACACTTTAAATAAATACATTAACAAAAGCTAATAAAGTAAAAAGAAAGATGTGGTTATATGGAAACCAGAGAATAAGATGTCAGAAGGAAATGAAATTATGAGAGTAATCCCAAAAAATATGAACGGACTTTATATAAAGAAAGAGATACAGTGAGAGAACCACATTCAAAACGTCATGGTAATTATGTGACTGCTCAAATAGAACAAGTTAAAAACAAAGGGATGCAAAAAGATATACTTTTTACTACTTAGAAAAAAACAACATTAGAGTAGAAAAACATCACAAAAATAAAATTAGTGCAAATAAGGAAGATAAAAGAAACAATTCATTCAGAAGGTGTTCTAATTATGATTTTTATGTATACATCAAAGCTTAAAATTAAGCAAACAAAAAGTTATAGAATTGTATAATGTACTCATGCTTGAAACTGGTAGAGCAAGTGATAAGTCATTGGTAAGTATATGGATTATTTCTTTAACAAAATTAAATAATACAATCTAGTGGACACAGAATGTGGTAAATGAAGAAAATTTGTTAATTACCAACTGCATCAAAAGTTATTTCCAAAAACTATTTCAAAGAACAAATAAAAATCACGCATTCTTCCATGACAATGTGGTAGATTTAAAAATCATCTACTAAGAGAACTCTAAGAATCTTTATAACTTTGGATAAAATGAAGTATTTCTAAACAATTCTAACAATGGTGCACACTTGTAATCCCATATTCTCAGGAGGCTCAGACAGGAGGGTCACAAGTTCCAGGATAGCCTGGGCAATTTATTGAGATTCTATCTCAAAATTAAAAAATAATAATAATAATAAAAGGCATGGGGATGTAGCTTAGTGGCAATGTGCCTGGGTTTAACATCCAATACAAAAAAAAAGTCACAAAGGCTGTGACAGAATATTTTGAAATAGATGGATAGATGACCATAAGAACAATTTTAAAGTATTTAAAAGGAACAATAAAAGTAAGACAGAAAATAATGACAGGGAGAACCAAGAGACAAAAGATAATACCAAATATTCAATTGAAAAATATAATTTAGTATTTGAATCTGTAGCGAAATCAGGAAAAATGGAAGAGGAAATTAAATAAACATATCCAGATGGAGTATTTGTTTATATTATATATAATTTTATGTACATTCTGTAACATTTTTATGTAACATTTTCACGTACATTTATTGTTTTCATTACCTATACACATGCACATTTAGATACATTTAAGGTATATGACATGATTTTTTTTTGTGTGTATGTTACTGGGAGTTAAACTCAGGGGTGCTTTACCTCTGAACAACATCCTCAAGCTCATTTTCCTTATTATTTTATTTTTAAGACAGGGTTATGCTAAGTTGTAGAGGCTGGCCTCCAAATTGCAGTCCTCCTGCCTTGGCTTCCCAGCTTTCAGGGATTACAGGTATGTGTCACTGTGTGAGGCTAACGTGGTGTTTTGATATACGTGTATGTAGTGAAATTATTACTACTGACAAGCAAGTTACCATATCAATCTTTTCACATTGATATTTGAAAAAAAAATAAAACCTTTGTGTGTGTGTGCACAAACACGTATGTGTGAGTGAGAGAAAGAAAGAAACAAGAGCACTGGAATCTACTCTGATGGCAAATTTCCAGAATACATTACAGTAGTATTGACTATAGTTCATGTTCAATGTTAGATTTCTACTCTTACTCTACAAAACAAAATTGCAACCTTTTATGCTTTGGCCAACATCTTCCAATTTCCTCCTCTTCTCTGACTATTGATATATCATGTTTGTCAAATATGTACATATTATTTAGATTCTACATGTAAATGAGACAATAAAGTTTTTCCCCTTTTCTGTGTGTTTAGTCAATATTAAAAAAAACATATGGATAAACTACAATGATTGTTTAGCATTCATTTGAAAAAGTAGCTGCCATCAATGATTTTATAGTGTATATATTACCAAAACTGATTTAAGAAAGAATACATGAGAAAAACTAAGAACTCCAAATAATTTGAAGCAGTAATTGAAATGATTACTCCTCAATATAAAGGGGAGTCAAGATTTGATCCTTCAATCGAATGGGTCTATCAAATGGCAAAATTTTCTACATAAGAAAATTTCTAACATTCAAATAAAAGTTTCTGCTTCAATAAATAATGATACAATGTCACAAATTTCCCTACATTATCCATGATTTCTGTCTTGTTATTCCCTCTGGAATTTCTATCTGTCCATTTATCCAGTTCCACTGTATATACCCCCTTCCCAGAAGTCTCTGAAGAGTTCTTTATTGTTCTCCTGTGACCTATGACTCTGCCTTGCTTCATTATGTCTGTGGATATGTATGTTCAGTCTCCCCAGCTAGACAATCTAGGACATCCCCAATTTTGTCCAGCTTGGTGTCTTTGGTAGAAGAGATACATGGACATTAGTTACCTCCAGAGAATCAGCAGTTAGTTAAAAGATGTGACATTTAAGAGTGAGTCCCAAACAGGGTCAAGGCCAAATCCTTTCCTATCACTGCAGTGAAACTTGGCATGCTGACAAGTCCAAAGGTCCTTTGGACTGCTGGAGGGCAGAGACGGGCAGAGAGCATTCAGTCATTGCCTTGACCTGGCTGTGTGCCACCTCACCTCAAATTACCAATAGTTCAGGCACCAGCCAGCTTGGGCTTCTAAATATAAGGTTGCTCACAGATTCTCGACCACATCAACTGCCACCGTGGTACTGCTTTCAGAATGTGCTTTTTCTGAAGAAACTTTAAAACTACATATTTTTAGAAGATCAAGTTGGAGAAAACAAATAGGTGAGTTATTGCGCCCTGGCTGTGTTAACACTTTTATTTTTTCCTGAACCTTTGGTTTGTTTTAGACAGAGTAAATTGTGTTTGCACCATTTGTAGTTGAATATGTAAGGTTTTTTTTTCCCAAGTAAATATACTAGTTAATTGCATCTTGTTTTGTTTATTGCAGTCTATTTAATTGCAATTCCAGGTAAATTGTTAAAATCCTTCTTCAGATATTTATTACATGGTAAATGATTTTACTTTGCAACATAATATTCACATGTAAAAGGGGAAAAGGAAACTCCATGGTATTTATCAACATCTCTTTTCTGGTTATTTTTCCTCAGATTGCTGCTCCATCTCTCAAGGGACAAACCATGGCAACAGTACCTTCCATTGGATGTCTCCTGGCCAAAAATCAGTATTACCGAAGTAAGTTGTATTACCATTAGAGAATATTCCCGGAGAATGTGATGAGAAGTGTGATTGTGGGTTGTTGTTGGCCAGTACGTCATGGTCAGAACTTAAGGGAGGGAGCTGACAGTTCTGCTGATGGTGAAGGAACAGCTGCAGAAGATAGGTGGTTCTTGGAACTAGTGCTGCCCAGGCTCACTGCTTTGCTTTAGCCATGATACACTGATAAGGCCTCCAACTCTTACAAACAAGTGAAAGTCAGCTTTTGTGTCATGAGTATAGCTTAACTTCTTACTTTCTAATTTTGGTAATTTTGTAGTATTTAAAAATAGGCATCTGTAATATTTCTAAGTTAGAACAATAGTGTTTATTTTTGATTTTGTACTTCCTAAGTTTTTAAATTTGGCATTTATACCACTTTAAATTTGACATCTAGGACGGGCACGGTCAGGGAAGCTGAGACAGGAGGATCATGAGTTCAAAGCCAGCCTCAGCAAAAGCAAGACACTAAGCAACTCAGTGAGACCCTGTCTCTAAATAAAAATGCCAAATAGGGCTGAGGATGTGACTCAGTGGTCAAGTGTCTCTGAGTGCAATCCCCAGTATCAAAAAGAAAAAAAAAAGCAGCTCAGGGAAGCTGAGACAGGAGGATCATGAGTTCAAAGCCAGCCTCAGCAAAAGCAAGACACTAAGCAACTCAGTGAGACCCTGTCTCTAAATAAAAATGCCAAATAGGGCTGAGGATGTGACTCAGTGGTCAAGTGTCTCTGAGTGCAATCCCCAGTATCAAAAAGAAAAAAAAAAGCAGCTCAGGGAAGCTGAGACAGGAGGATCATGAGTTCAAAGCCAGCCTCAGCAAAAGCAAGACACTAAGCAACTCAGTGAGACCCTGTCTCTAAATAAAAATGCCAAATAGGGCTGAGGATGTGACTCAGTGGTCAAGTGTCTCTGAGTGCAATCCCCAGTATCAAAAAGAAAAAAAAAAAGTAGCATCTGTATTGATTGAGATTTCATAGGATACATTATTAATTAAAAATCAATAATTTTGCATAAACAAAATATCACGTAATTCCTTAGAAAAGAGGGAATAGTATGAGTCTGGTTCAAAGATTTTCTACTTTCCATTCCCTGCAGTGGATGACAGGTCAGCATCTATCTACCCAGTCTCATTTTTTAATCTAGCTATCTGTCCTACATATTCATGGCTGAAAAGAAAATTTGGCCATCCTGAGAAGACTGAGAGATTTCATAAAATGAAAAGAGCATTTCAGAATCAAATTGACATTTAGTAAAATTATCTATTCTGGCAATCTATGAAAAAGTCATTTCAAGGATTATTTATAGCTTAAGAGTAAGAAACATCTAAGGATTTATTGTTTTTACAAAAAATGTTTAAACTATGCACATCTACTGAGTGTTTCTTTCTTTATCAACAGAAGTTATTTTTATAGTCTGCTCTTTTAATAGATTTACTGCTTTAAAATATAAGTGTTAAAAGACAAACAAAATGTTCTTATAAAGTAATTTCTTACTTTCTAAATTTGGTAATGTTGGGATTTAAAAAATATACACCTGTAATATTTACTATGTAGTACAATGCTATTCATTCTTGATTTTGTAATTCTTAGCTTTTGAATTTGACATTTATAAGACATTTTAAATTCAATATCTATATCAATGGAGAGTGAGAGTTGTCCACCATGAAAATTAATAGACCTTATTAGTAGAAACTTTTTCATTGAGAATTTGATTAATTTTTCAACTTGTGATTTCATGATCAGGATACAATGATTTCAAACTATGTTTCTTGAGGAAAAAAATACACACACACACACACAAACATATATATATATATATATATATATATATATATATACATACATGATATGCTGTGCTTGTCTTTTTGCCTGTTATTTATTTCCTTTTATTTTTATTTGTTTCCTAGAGTCCAGTATTTCTTCAGTTAGTTCCTTAACTAGCTCTGATTCTGTTAATTTAATAGAAGATGACAGAACTCTTCAAGGTACTTAATTTATTTCTTACCAGTGTTACTCTCATTATTTTCCTTTACTTTTAATCTTTCAAATTCATTTGATAATGGAATAATTAAAAGTTTATTTGATAGGATTACCCGAAATGGCAGAATCCACCTGGTGGTTTAAATCTTTTTTCCATTCTGAACCTGTGCTTTCAAATGTGAGAAACAAAGATTTATCTTCTAGTGGGTGAGTTTCTGTTTTTTCTTTTCTTTTTTTCATTTTTTTCTGATGAGGGTATTTCTTACTTTGTGAACAAAGCAAAGCCCATAGTAACTGTCATGTAATCAATAAGGGTAACCTACACTTCTTTCTTGGAGACACTGAGTCTTTGTTAGGAAGCACCCAAGGGAAGGGGATGATGCAAACAGCTGTTTTCCTCTTTCAAACAACTATCCATGAGAACACAAGCACTCCTCCTAATTCAATCACTGAAGAGGGATGGAAAAGTCATATGCCAATTTGTATAATTGTTCAGGGGGAATAGACTGGGAACCAGAGGCAAGGTTCTAAATTTGTTTTTCCAATTCCTCCAGGAGCAGAGTAACCATTATCTAGTTGCTGTCCTAGATAGCCTTGTTTAATCGCACTGTAGATTTTGATTAGCCTCTGCATGGTGCCAATTACTAGGTAGACTGAATTGGTGGGTTTGCATGCAGGCTTTTTCAGACACTTTGAACTCTAACACACTGAATAGTGCACATGTTATTCTCATTTTTTAAAACATTATTGTTTGGGATTTTAGAAACTTTAATAATTCAAAGTAGAATAAAAAGAACATAGTAATGCAGTTCATAGACTCAAAAGTTAAAACCTAACGGTCTTGTTGAATTTTCCAAATATTAAATAGAATCAATATTTGAAATGTTTTTTAAAACAATTTGGAGTTATTTATTAAAAGGATTTTTTAATCTTTATCAAGTTTATTGATATTGATTATTAAATTATCTAGTGTTTCATTTATTTCTCCACTTTACTTTGACCATAGAGGCAACCTACATTATGAATAAGCATTTCACAGCTAATCATTCTTGTTTTGCCAGTCGATGAACATCATGGTGATAACTATTTTATACAGCACTCACAGTTGATTCTGACAATCAAGATCTCTCCCTGCTGTGGTGCTACAGACGTGAACCCTTAAGCTCAGCATGCCAGCTATTCCAGAGGACTCTTCCCTATTGTAAGAAGACAAAACCTACCTGAGATCTCATTTCTGAGGCAATATCACAGAAGCTGCTCATAGCAGAAATTTAGGCATTTTCCTTAACACTATCACAGCAAGTGGTACCAGCGACATGGAGAACATTTACAAACCTGCCTTTAGAGATGTTCACCTATTTAAAGTAATGAGTCTCCAAATGCAGTGACTTAGGTAAAACAGTCCTTTCATTATCTATATTATTTTTATCTAGAAATTTAATTTAGACTCTTTTTATGTCTGCTATATGTTATAATGCCTTAAAACTGAAGAAGCCTCTATGCTTCTTCAGAGGTAAATATATTACCTCTTAAATATAGTACCATACATCTAACCAATTGATTTGTAGTGTAGAGTTTAAAATTCTTGATTTAAATAATATTTAAGAACATGGAAAATTATAACACAATATTAATAAAAAGTGAGATAATAAAAACTGTGTGGTATGATTTTAATTGTATTACTGATTACAAATGGATAAAGTAGATTGGAAAGAACTATGTCAAAAATGCTAGCAGTGGTCATTTCTGGATTTGGGATTGTGAATACGTTTATTTTTTCTTGATATATTCTACTTCAAATTATATAATATTACTTTTTTGTATTAATAGGTAATAATAAAATAATAAAACCACTGGAATAAATTTTCTGAAAGTGTATATTCCCTATATTGAGTATGATATTCCTTAGTTTATCAGTATCGGGTAGAGAAAAATAGTTCATGAGTTTCACTTGAAAAGTTTCTATATACTGCTTGAAAATATTTTTAATGAAAGATGTGAGGCTTACGTGTTGGGATATGGAACTCAGAGATGGATGTCACTATAGTCATTTGGTTAATGTTGCATTAAACATCCAGCAGAGCACAATTGATTGTCAATAGAATCATGTTGCTACCCAAACACAGAATCCTGGTAAATATGACGACTAATCATTTGCACTGATAGACACTACTGACTGATCATTTACTCTTTCCAAATGGGAAATGCACCTCTCAGTTTTGTCTCTATTTTTTTTTTCCTAATTCTGCAGTACACATGCTAGACAAATGTTTTACTATTGAGCTACCTCCCTTTTAATGAAAGGATTGAAATATCACTTCTGCCCATATCAGTGTTTACACTTTACAGTTTTTCCAGTGATTACTAGCATATGTACTTTTTATATATTTATTGAGGCAGATTAAATATTTGGAGTGTATATTTCACTTAGTTTTAGTCTAAAATTAAATCACAATGATTAAAGCTGGTTTTCTTAAAGTGAGAGGAAAAATACAATGAAACAAAAATGGTAAATGGTGGGAGGTTTTGTTTTCATTTTAATATTATCAACAAATTCTTGTTTCCTTAACCACTCGGTATGTGTTTGAACAGTTTGCTTGTTTAGCTGATTTGATGGCTTTCCTAAAATAGTTTCACAAATTGGTATTTACTTTTGTTTACTCAGAAAGATAACATTTCTTAAATTATTTCTTGGAGGGTGCAATGTATTTGTAGTATTTATAACATGTTAAAATGTGGCATTTATATTAGTTTAGACTACTGTTGCTGTTTCAGAAAGTTATTTAAAGTAGTTGAATTTTACATGTTCACATCAATCATAACATGAACATTAGTTATTCAGCATTTTAGAATGATTATGTGTTTACACACACACACACACACACACACAAATTGTGTGTAAATGTGAGGATTGATATGTATAGCCTGCAGAGATATAAAACATCTTTCTGAAAGTAACATCAAAGTGAACTCAACATGATTTGAGTTTCTACAGAATTGGGATGAGAAACTGAAAACAAAATGTCTTCTGATTAACTATAGATAATTTCTCTTAATGAATTAAAATACATATTGGTGCTGCCTTAAAAAAATATATGTCATATACAGATATCAGCATAATCCTAGTTAAAACACCCCTTACATGGCTTTACTATCTATTGGGTAGATAATCAACAGTGAAGGATAAATATATTAGAGAGGTGTCATAGCTCCAAATGCCTAGTGATGCTCAGTGATCATTCTAATATGATGTTATGAAAGGTTATTTGAATTGATGTCTATATTAAATGTAACAGGTTTTGACAATTTCAATTTAGATACTGATACATTATAAATTGAGGCTCCCCTATCTTTTCTTTTTGACATATGGTCTTGATATTAGGTTTCAAGTTATTAATATCACATTCCTTACAGATAAAACTGCCAGCAACCAACTAATCAATTTTAACTAGGGTGAAAATTGTCCAATTGGAATTTAGGAATACTTAGTGCTTTATACATTATGTTGCATGAAACAAAACAGCAGAATTCCACATAATGACCAAAATTATTTTAAAGAATAAATGTTAGATTGAGTAGTATATGGATAAATATTTCGTACAAATTCAAGAAATGTAAAATCAAAATTCATGAAAGCTGCTTATGAAATCATCTAACCTATTAAAGCCAAAGATCACAATCTTAACACCTTACAATGTCTCCTTACAATATTTTCCCTCAGAGAAGGGCAATATTATTTCATCAACTCAAGCAAGTGAAATCTATCCTTCATATCCAATCCAGAAGTGAGTTTTTTCAACTGTATTTCTTGATATTTCTGCGATATATTTAGTTATTTCCTTTCTGATCAGTAAACTTCCATCATTTCTGCCATAACCTCTTACATGGCCGACCCACACTATTTTTATCTTTTGCCAAATAGATATTCTTTACAGAGTAGTCGTAATCATCTTTATAAAGCACTAGTCTAATGATCCTCCACTGTGAACACATACACACACACACACACACACACACACACACACACACACACACACATTTTACCTAACTACATTAATATAGGTTTTACATACTACATTGTATACTACTTGCAAGCAGAAGTCAGGCTTTGATCAACATTCCATATCCAGCCTCTGACAATATTGATGCATATTTGTCACATGCTTGACAATGGTTCTTTGGCCAGCGATGGTCACTAACTCATGATATTTTATATTTCATTAGGAAGAATTAAGCAATCAAGTATTTCTTTTTTTTTACAGTATTAATTAATTAATTAATTTATTTATTATTAATTCTTTTTTACATCTCTTTTTTTATTGTTGGTTTTTCAAAATATTACATAGTTCTCTTTTTTAATTAGTTGTTCACAACATTACAAGGCTCTTGACATATCATATTTCATACATTAGATTGAAGTGGGTTATGAACTCCCAATTTTTACCCCAAATGCAGATTGCAGAATCACGTCGGTTACACATCCACAATTTTACATAATGCCCTATTAGTAACTGTTGTATTCTGCTACCTTTCCTATCTCCTGCTATCCCCCCCTCCCCTTCCCTCACATCCATTACATAGTTCTTGATATATCATATTTCACACTTTGATTCAAGTGGGTTATGAACTCCCATTTTTACCCCGTATACAGATTGCAGAA